CCTAGCAACTCTCAGACTTCCCCCAGAAATTTTTTTCGACTTTTCCTGGATGATTATCTCCCAACAGATTCTGTCAGCATCCGTCGCAAATTTCTTTTAACTTTCCTCGAAAGGTTTTTCAGCTTCTCTGGAAATTTTTACCAACTGCTCTAAAAAATTACCAACTCTCGATTTATTGACTATACACATAATAAATTTCAGGGGAATAGTTTCCTGGTCGGTGTGGTCTATTTTAGTGGAATGTAAAAATCTCTTATACCTGGACGCAAGAAATCAGCTCTATCTCGGGATTGTTTTGATGAAATAAAAAAAAAAATAAGCTGTCAAAACAAAGGATTTTTATTGTATTTTTAGAAAAAAAAAATATATCAACAGTCTTACTCCGATTTGGTTTAGATGCACAGACGAACTTTTCTTGAAATAGCTCGTATCATCTTTTGGACACTCTGTTTGTCAACTTGAGTGGCCATTTTATTTCACCATATCTTATCTCTGCAGCATTCTAAGTAACTTGTCAAGTCTTTTTCATACTGGGTTCCTCGTGAAAACCTCTCTATATAGTGGCGCCGGTGGTGTAGTGGTAAGCGTGATTACCTCTCACCCCAGCAGGCCTGGGTTCAATCCCAGTCGGCGCCGCCGGGATGTTCTGAGGCATAACATCTCTGATCACGCCTTCCTTCGGAAGGAAAGTACAGCCGTTGGTCCCCGGTTCATGGGTCGATATGGGAAAAAAACTCTCTTTCAACATGGGTCCATCTGTCACAACATTTTTAAATCTTAATGAATCGCAACAAAACTTTTACCACATTAAGAGCAGAGCTTCCCAAATAATTTTCTGTCAAAACATTCGAGAATCAACCACTAGAACCGCTGTAAAAAATAAGCAGTGCGTCCAGATTTTAAGTGAATCTAGCTTTACACCTCACATACCGTGGTAGAGGTAACAAACCTACGACTAGGTGCCTCCCTTCAGATAGCAACTTGAGTGCTGTACAATCGATAGAACTGTTTCAAACACATCGTCGGCACATGAGCAAATCGGCGAACATCTCTTTTTTCATCTCCTCATCTATCGTATAGAATGACTACTTTAAGGGGAAGCATACCGCTCCGAAAAAAAATGAGTTTTGATTTTTCCAAAATTATTGGGAATAGATATCGAAAATCTAAAAAATCACATTTTTCTTATAATTTAGAGAAAATTCACGAGCAACAATATTTTTTGTAATTTATCATGGCATAAAGTTGGAATCAAAAAACCACAAAATATCAACTTTTCGGTTTTGCTGAGAGTCCAATATATTTTCATGATGAGATAGAAAAACTATTTTTACATGTAAATTTTCTCAAGAATCTAAGGAAGAAACTGATTTTCTTGGATTTTTGATAATTTTTTCCAATGTTTTAAGAAAAATAAAACGTGCCGCAAACATTTTTTTTTTATTTTCGGGGCGGTAATCTTCCCCTTAAGCCTGTTATTTGAAACTTGGCATCTTCAACTATGTAAAATCGTTAACTTCACGCAGAAGTAATACAAGCATAAATATAGTAAAAATGTAATAGGACTGCAGCGTTTATCAAAAGCAGGACGACCTTCATATAGTGCAGATGTGCATGATTAGAGATGAAATAAGTCGATCATTTCCTGGATTGAAAAACACAATTTCTATAAAGTTGTCAAACGGAGCTCGACAAAATTATCAAAAACGCCTGTTGCTGGCTCCGTTAAGTGAACTAGGGGAAATGAATGAAATGTCGGCCTAAATGCCCCTTATTTGGGCCCATACATAAATTATGCAATCGACTAAATTTTCAAAAACGACCAAAAATATCCATTAGTACCGTCCCAATGACGCGTTCATCTAGATAAAATTGATAAATAGTAGATTTTTTCCGTAGACTGATTTCCGTTTGCTGAGACGTTCCTGGCCCCGAATCGACTGGAACGAATTGAATGACCTTGATCTCGATACAGCAGTCGCTCACTATAATTGGCTTTTGCGCGACTGTGTTTGTGCTTCAGTACCGAAGTGTCCAAGAAAACCGCCTTGATCTAAAGCTCCTCTCTGCAACCTGAAACGAGTGCGAGCTAGAGCTCTCCGCGATCTCACTCATCGGTCATGTATACGGTAAGAAAAAACTACCCAACTGCCAGTTCACTTTTACCTACTTTTGACTAGTTTGTCTCCTTCTCTCGTTCTAATGTTGTCAAAACTTGAGGAGCAAAACCACCCAACAGAGGTAGTAAAGTGAGGGAACCCAACGTGGAGTATAATCATATTTACCTACTTTTGGGTACAACTAACTTATTTTGGGTAGAAAGCTAATGGATAATTCCATACGAATTGCACACAAGTAAATGAAAACTACTTTGACCCGCTTTACATACTTTTGGGTTCCTGCACTATAGTGCCGAGATGAGTGAAAAGAACTTACTTTTGGGTACTTTTTTCTTACCGTATACCCTTACCAAACGAAATTTTTCAATTGCGTCCGAAAATATATACGAATGGCAGTCATGGCTTCATTGATAGATATATCCAAAGCAGAATGGAAATTTTCAAGAGGATCGATGACGTCAGGCGCTTCAGCGACGACACATTCCAGAAGTGCACTTTCGCTTGCAAAACCCAAGTCAAGAAAATGAGACTGAATATTGACAATTTGACAGATAGACAATAGATTTAGCTGTCACTTTGCCGCAACGCGTCACATTTTTATTTAATGTGGGTGGCCCTTAAGAATCTTCCGATCGTAAGAAACTAGTGAGAAATTCGACAGTCAGATGACATTTTCGGAGCAACTCAGGTAAAAAAATCCTGATGATGTAGGAAGAAACTTCAGGAGGAAACCAAAAGCAAAAAGAAAGCCGAAATAAACTAACAGGAGAAGTTAAAGGAATCTTCCAGAATCAGAAGAAACTTCCAGGGGAAGTCAGAAAAACATTCCAGAAGAAATCGTAAGAATCATCATCATAAAACTGGAGCTAGCTTCAGTGGAAAGATGGAAGAAAGTTTCATGAAAATTCCGGGAAAAGTCAAAACAATGCTGGTAGGTTACAGCGCTACTTCGTAGTAATCGCCCATTTCCATTCTATCGATCAGAAAAGATCAATAATAACAATGATTTCACCGTAAACAAATCAATAATAGGTTTGTTCTGATGCGTTAGTTCATTAGCTACAACATAAATCCTGTTAGAGCGCATTGTATGAATATTTAGGCTCATTGTTCTCAAAACAAAAGAAGCGCTCCTAGCGAATCCCTTTTTTCAACGTTTATCCGTAGGACGAAGAAAATCTAATGGCGTTTCAATGCGTTAGGGCGGAATTGAAACTCGTAGAACGAATTTAGAATCAAGAAGCAGTGTTAGATTTTAAACAATATCTCAACAATTTGTGACTCTTTATCAAATCCAACGGTACGTATGGAAAGGTGAATAAATTTGTCATCTTTGGCAGAAATATTAAATTTTTTGTTTAAACTCGTTCAGAAAAGAGAGGTAAAGCGCGGGTTATGCTTAGTAGGACGGAAATTAGATCAAAAACCCTATCTGCTATGGTTAGAATTTGGCGTGGTTGTTCCAAGCCACTCGAAAATAGTTGTTTTCCTCAATGAATTCAATTGGGTCGCAAATTTTTCGAGGCCTTTATCACACTCTGCTCCTGCTGTGTTTAGAGTAAATTAAAGTTTTATAAACATTTATGAATGATTAAATAAGTTTGGGATACGACTTGACCTTTTGCCCACATAAGTAATTGTAGTTTAAAGATGACATATCTGAAATCTGATGCGGCTAAAAGCATCTACAAGAGAAACGCAATCTTATTTTTGCCTGTAACTGATCGAAACATCACCAATTTATGTGATTTTTTTGGAGGAAGGCCCTCTGAACATGATGCAAACTATTGAATTTTATTTGCACGAAAATCGCTCTAAATACAAATGAATCGAACTTTAATCAAAGATGTCATGCAATAATCAGGTATCTTTTTTTTTCCAACCATAGTTTCCCTGTATTGTAGCTTAGTAATATTTAACAAATCCTCCGCTCCACACCCTTTGTAAGATCTTACATCGAATATTTGAATGGGTGGTATACTGCCGTTATATCAATCCCATATGGAAAAAGTAGGCATTGAGAAAATGGCAGTTGAAGTTACGAATTGCAATTCCCATGTATTTGTTTGAAAAATCATCGTAAATTAATTGATATATTTTTTTTCAAGTTGAAATCAGTTAAAATGAAGATTGCTTGTTTTGTTACATCTGCGTAAGATATAGCGATCCAAAAAGCAGAACTGTAACTTGACCTCTGGACAAACTGACTTGATGTTGTTTTGTCATTTCCATGATCAGTTCATTTTCAGTTTTATCACGTAATATGAAAGTAGATGTTATATATATATAGTGGATAGCGTTGTTATCTTAAAATTGATGAAAATCCATATGTGACTGATATGCGATTATAGACAGTATATGACTTGTTCATGGTAACATAAGATATTTTGGAATCCCCCTACGTCCCATGTAAGAAAACAATTGAAAATGTCTAAATGTCCTCTTTTGAATGCTTATGTTATTATTGAATGGCCCCAAAACTCTACAAGTTGAAACCTCGAATTAGGGATCCAGTATACAAAATTAGATTGGTTCCTAATGTTTGGATTATTGCGATATTCATAAATTTTCGACTAAAGTAAATCTTTTGCCCCTCCTTACACTTCTCGACATATGAACATTTGAAACAGTTAACTCACATTTTTATATAAAAAAGACAAATATAACATGCTTTAAGGCTCTGAAGCCTACCTTCCTCCCTTGGCTGCGCCACTGCACTACAGAAGTTAGTCAGAACATGGTTCACTCCTAGATAACATACATATTTGAAAACAAGCCCCCATTCATTGTTAAATCTCCAATTCATATCCTATATAAACGAAATAGTATTCATCCATATGATATGTGTTCAAGTTATGTTGACAAGGCATTGTTTCCTACCTGCTTGTTTCATCATCGAACTCTCCTTCATTCGTTATCTTACCGCTGGCACAAATATTTTCCTCACATTCGGCATCGTCTTCAGGGTGATCCCCCGTTTGATTGATATCGCAGACCGAAATCAGCTGAATGCGTTGGCTCACACAAAACTTTCTGTCTCGCTTTTCTTCCACACAAATTTGCTCATAAATATTCTCAATCGCTTGCACTGCGTCATCCATTCTTTCTTCACTTTTATCACAATCATCAACACATGCAGGCACTTGGGGTTCTACTTCCGCCTGTGATATTTGCGCTGTACTCGAATTTACTACTTTTAGCTGATAAACCGAGTTACTGGAGGCGGATGACGTTGCTGGCGTGCTGTGGCTGCTTTCGTCATGACAGGTGAGAGTTTCGAAATGCAGCGTTAACCGACTCACGTACGAAGATTTCACTCGGCCACTACTGGCTTTTCCGCCCCCAGCTGGGAAACGCTTTTTCACTGCACTTTCACTATTTCCTAGTGGTGAGCTGCTTCGATCGCTGTCTTCGACGCAAATGCCACTATCTCGTGAAATGCGATTTGCCATGATTGTGCTTGGTTTACTCATTATGTGCAGCAATTAGCTCGTGCATCAGTCGTAGGCTCACACGAATAGCACTCAACAGAACTATTAGCCGAGCGTCGTCAACTAGCGCTGAGAACAAGAGAGAAACACACGATTAGATTTTTTTATGTATACCTAATAGGAAATCAGAACGCGACTAGATGTAGCCGTGCTTAGGATAGGGGTGATCATTTATTAGTGTACATGTGGAAGAGCTGTAACTTTATATGTTTTCGATATTTTTCACGCATACAAATACTGACGTCTACCGGCGCACTCCAATGATATCAACGTACTACATTGAAAAGCTTCTCGAAATACTTATACTTCCAAAATTTTGTTGGCAGCGTGCCAATGCTCAAAAAACCCCCAGTTTTATGGTTTAACGTGTGGATTTAGTTTTATTGATCGTGTTGTTTTCTCTTTCACACAAATCCACTAGCACTAGCCACTGAATTTGCTTCTAGACCTCTCAACATGACGGAAAAAGTCCAACCTGAAATGGTAAAAGTTTCGGAAATACCTTTTTTTTTGTTTGTTTTAAAGTGATGAATCACGGGCAGGATGATGACTTGCACTAGTAAATATGAGAATTTCTCGCAGAAACCAGTCCACTTTTGTACCCGTTCAGAAGTACTATGTACTATATAGTTAAGAAACTAGAGAAATCGATCAGAAAAGGTCAAATTGAAATTTCTCAAGAAAACTCCATATGTATAGAAACCACATCAAAGGGGAAAGTTAGGGCTTTCTGTTGGCATGATCAAACATTTTTGGCGGCCATATTAAAATTGGCTACCATATTAGATCTATTCTTAAAAAGTAGAAGGGTCTGTACCTAGGGGCACGAACGAAAGTCTTTCCGTTTTTGAATTGATGGCCCTAAAAAGGGCCGGTTGTTTTTCAAATGGTGGCCACACCACCAGTGCAAGTCGATGCCGACCGGATCACGGCGGCTCGGACAGCGGCCTAATCATGCTGCCTATTGCGGGAAGCCTTTCCTCCGGTCCATGTGGGTGTTTTAGTCGTCGTCCGTCGTCTTCGTATTGGTGCGATGCCTGCTGTTCCACGTATACGTCGTGTTCGACGCTTATCCTTCCGTCACTCGAAAGCAAATGTCGAAGAAAACAATTTGGCAAGCGTTTTTATTATCCTCCCTTCCTTTCATTGGTGAAAAGATGGGATTGTTTGGGATTTTTCGTTAATGTTTGAATTTTGATTTTTTTTTTAGAAATTAAAACGTAGTCCTACGTCAAAAGCGTTTTTCATGAGCTTACCTACAACCGATTTTATAAAGTACGCCATTAGAAAGCGGAGCTATTGATATAAGTAATTGTATCTCTGAAAATTCTCAAGAACAATCCTAACATCTATATATTAATGGAAAAGGAAAAGTTACTCGGGCAAAGTCCACCATCAAAATGACAGCAAATTGAAATCAAATTTTTATATAAAAGCTCACTCATGAAAAATAATGCCACCAGCAGGTAGAGGAATGTTTCCTCTACCAGCTAGCATTGTAATTTTGGAGAGGTAAGATTTCATTCGCGAGAAATTGACGGCTAAAGTCATTGTTTACAAAAGCAATTACGCCCCTTTGAAATGTTGGCACTGACATATCCAACGAATCGATTGGAGCATGTATCGGATAGTGTGGGCTTCGAGAAGAAGCATTGGTTTCCCCGTTTTGGAGTATAGGAATAATAACAAAAATAAACGGGCCTATGAAAATATGTGCATGTATTAAATAGTTTTTTTTTTCCTAATTGTCATTTTCACTTTGTTCGGGTTCGGAATCGCTTTGGGATTGGGTATTACAGCTGCTTTACCGAAAAATTCTGGATCTATTGCGTTAGCTATTTGATTTGCTAGCCATTACAACTGTATTGGAGAAAATTCAAGAAATTGGTCTACTCAACTGTAGCCCAAGTAACATTGGAAGCTTTTTTTATTGAGCTTTTAAAGTATTCTACAAGTCTAAATCATGATATATAGAACCCTCATAAAACCGAAATTATTACTAGGGAGATATCCCAACAGCAAATCGATGAAGAGAATCGATCATACCAGCTAGGTCCTTATGATTCTGAATGCTAGATACGATTAATGTCTGAAGTCTTTATGATTTTGGTAATTAAAACTAAAATACGATTATCTATGGTATAATGATGGTACCGTAATGCACCGAATACCGGATGGTCCGTTAATCCGGACGCTTGATTTTTATTTTCAATACGTACCTATTACATCGAGCGCATACCATAATATTTCAAGCTGAACATTGCATTAGGTCCTAAGTAACATTAATCGACTCTCTTCGTCGACTTTCTCTTTCATTAATAAGTTGAGCACATAACCGTTTCTTGTTGTGTTTGTCGTATTGGATGCTAAGTAAAAGGTTCTTTTATCGATCTGTGTGCTTGAAGATACCTGGGAATGTCTTTACATGACCGTGGGGATACAAAGAGAAATTCGACGAAGAGAATCTGTCAATGTTACTTAGGACTTAATGCAATTTTCAGCTTGATTTATGTTGTTACAATGTGGCTGATTATTGCTACTGACAATTAGTAATTATTAAGTGCTACTTTGAGCATAGGAGGCATTGATAATGAAATTTTAAAAATCAAAACAAATTTGCGCATTTCAGAACGCGACGTCAACTAGTGTGATACGGTTTAAAGCTAATGTCGTTTTCGTTTTTGCGGTGTAGCTACACCGGTGCTACACTGCCGTACACCGAAATATTTTAGGGTGTAGATATAGGATGCACCTTTGTTTACAAACAAATGATGTTGAGCTGTCAAAGACTCGTGCTTATTCCTGCTTACACTACACCAGTGCTACACCGCAAAAACGAAAACGACATAAGAATCAATCTCCGTGAGATTTAATTTACCAGTGAAATTAAAGTGAATCTTGAGAGAGTAGAGTCAAATGCAATGCTGACATAGCTTTAATGTGTTTCTTCAAACGAATTGTTTCAATTAATTCGAGATGTCCAGATAAATGGATACTTTTTCAATATGTGTTTTAATCCGGCCGGACAAAACATTACTATGCAATGATGTGTTTCAGGAGTAGCAAAAGGAGATGCTGCAAGCTATGGAGAGGGTGTAGCAAGGTGTAGAGATCCGTGGAACCGCAAAATTATTCAGTGTACCGAAGAGTACTCTGGAAGACAGAGTGTAAGAACACTACCAGACTAACAAAAAAGGAGCAGCAACTATTCCTTCCAAAGAAGAAGAGAGAACCATCGTCGGATGGATCATTTCAATGGCCCAGGCCGGATTTCCCGTGAACGAAAAAAAAATTGATGATTCAGGTAGGGAAGCCGTAAAGAGTCTTGGAAAGTCAGATTCCTTCAAAGGCCAACTGCCTTGTCGAGGATGGATTAGGCGGTTTATGAAAAGGGAACCAAGAACTGACCATGAGAGTTACCAATAATTTGGCTAAGCGGTGGGTCGTGCGTGAAGCAGACATTCGTCAATGGTTTCAAGTAGTAGGTGCGTACCTCAAGGATAGTAATGTTATGGACATACTAGATGATCCTACTAATGTTTAAAATTTTGGACGAAAGCTTATTTACTGTGGTACCTTGGTAGTAGTAGTAAAATTATGTTTATTTCTGTTAATTATGATAGTACATTGATTTAACATTTTAATTGATTCGCCTACCTGGCTCTTCACCTTTGTTTAATTTGATATTCTAATTTAATATTTGCGTTTTTCAACTAGTATACAGAATACCCCTTTGGGGTGTGTTTTGTGTGAATTGAAAAAAGTGAAAACCTACTTAACTACGAGTATAACTTAACCTAACGTGCTAGATCACGTATGATCTGATGATTTGATCTTAGACAGGTGTCTCTGAACCTTTCCAGGATGAATACTCTCCGTTCTTCTTGTTTCTGAATTCCAGCCATGAGGTGGATCTCAGAATTTCTAGTCCGCGAGCGACTGTTTAGGACCATGCTAAGGATCTTTATCTGGATCCTTTGGAGTTTAAGGTGATTCCATTTGGCACAACTGGTTTTGTCAACGTGCTCCCTGAAAATTAGCTTACTGTCTAGTGTTAAGCCGAGGTAGACTACCTCTTTCAACCATTTCACCACTGTGCCGTTCAGGCAGATCTTATTATTCACCGATGGAAGAAGTCTGGGAGATTTAGAGTGTAAAAAGATGATGACCTGGGTCTTTGTCGCGTTGATACGGAACTTACAGATGTTGAAATATTCAGACAGGACGTCCAGGCCTATCTGAAGTTTGGCAGTCAGAGCTCCGATGACCCTACCCTTGTAAACGATGGATGTGTCATCTGCAAACAGAGACAACGATCCACCATCAGGGAGAGATGGCATATCGGAGGTGAACAGGTTGAATAGAATGGGGCCAAGGATGCTTCCTTGTGAAACCCCAGCACCGATGTTGAAAGCATCCGATGGCATTCAGAGAGACTCGGAACGTCCTGTTCAATAGATAGTTGTTAATTATCTTCGCTAGGGAGATTGGAAGACCGTAGTGCTGCAATTTGAACATCAGGCCATCATGTCAGACATTGTCGTACGCTTTTTCAACGTCCAACAACGCCAAGGCAGACGTTTTCGAAACAGACTTGTTCCGTCTGAGAGTGTTTGTTACTCGAGTCGGACGGTCGGAGGTGGACGGTCGAACGATCTTTCTGAAAACCAAACTGTTCCTCAAGTAACAAGTTGTTTTCTTCGGCAGATGTTAGGAGCCGGTGGTAGACTTCTCTTTCGAACAGTTTTGATAAACCTGAGAGAAGGCTGATTGGTCGATAACTTGAAGGAGAGGACGGATCCTCCGAGGGGAAGTATCCAAGTCGGAGGCACAGATTAAAAATCAGTGCCAGATGGTTGTAGAATCTGGACCTCAAGTGTTTGAGTTCCAGATTCAGGATGTTGTCGAAACCTGTTTAAGATGATTTGATATATGCCAACAGTTCGTCAGCCGTAATCTCGGATTCCTCGGAAAAAAATATTGGGAATCTAATGTAGGTTTGTTGCCTTTTCAGCAACCTCCGCTTCGTGAGGGCTGACGATGTTTTGTCCGAGATTATGGGAGCTGAC